GGGGGTGGTGTTTGAAATTTAGGTCTATGTTTTTTTTTGTTTTCGATTTTTTTAAAAGTGTTTTACGGCGCTCGCATCTACATAAGGTCATATGAGCGCGTGGGACACATTGGTAGGAATATTTGAATTTTGCCCGGGTGGCGGCCGAAGCCTACTCTTACCGATTTTAGACCACCACGGGATCTTTAATGTACGCAACTTGCACACGGGCCCACCGAGATTTTTTGCCCTTGTCCGAGAAGGCTTGGTGCAGATCTTTCCTTCCAGAAGATGAGGGGTGTGGCTGAAAGACAGCAGCAAGAAGGAGCCGAGGAGTAGCAGTAGAAAGGCTGCAGAAAGAGTCAGGAGCCAAGAGGAGGAGGCAAAGGAGGTGAGGATGTGTGGGCAGAAAGAGGAGACGAAAGCAGACGACAGAACATTGCTCGAGAGCAGGAAAGGAGGTGAAAGGAAATTTTAGAGAATACAATTTTCCGTCTCTACCAGGATTTGAACCCGGGACCTTTGAATGAGAGGCCAACACATTAACCTCTAGGCCACGAGAGCCCCCCGGGTCTATGTTTAATTAGAACCGCATCAACATTTGATAACTGTCACCCCAAAAAGATTGTACCTTTAACTCAAAATCAGGAGAAAAAAAACCAGCCATCGACATGCTTTGCGCTGCTGTTGCGAGGACATTCAACGTTAGAAGGACTATCAGTCTACTGAGGCAACAGTACGTTGTGACGTCGGTCAAGACCCACCCAGAACCGATTGTCCAAGGGTTGCAATGCCAGCTCAAGACCGATATATCAGGATAGTCATCATCATCCAGTGCCAGATCTGCGACAGACATCGGCGATCATGGTTTTCCATTCATTCCTTTGCTCGGATGCTCTCAAAAAAGCTACGTTTCCCAGATCTTTCCCTGTTACCCACTTGTTTAGGTTCCCCATGTATGTTGTTCTGGGCCTACCGCTGCCTCGCTTGCCCTCAATTTTGCCAGTGAGAGCTAGATGTTCAAGACCCTTATGTCTATTCAGGTGTCCCAAAAACTGCATTTGTCGTTTCCTTATTGTTTTTAACATTGAGCGTCCCAATCAGGATAGTACACTTCTGAAAATATTTTAGGACAGCTGCTCAAACAGCAAAACAATGTCTTGGACTTTAACACGTCAGCGGCGCACTGTTCTTCGCAGACTGAAGGAATTCAAGATTGTAGCCAGGATGCCTACACACAGACTGCGTTTGCAGCCAAAGCACCGCCAGGCTAAGATGAACTGAGCAAAGCTGTATACCGCCGATGGAACTAAGGCAGTGGGACACCGTCTCCTTCTCGGACGATTCTCAATCCCAAGTTGAACGCCATGTTTTGAGTATGAAAGTGAACAGGAGACCACATAAGCATTATCTGTCATTTCTTTAAAAGCACAATCATCCCATGACATCCAACAGAACAACATGCCAGCGCACCAGGTGCTCCACTCGGAATTAAATTCTTTAAAAATCAGAATAACGTCGCAGTAGTGGATGGGAGGAACAGGCGCTGAAATAAAGTCCTGTATTGGAAAGGCACAGACTGTATTTATTTATTTGAACTGGATTTGGAGGACTAGGGATATATCACAATGAACGAAGCTGCGGATTTTCAATTCAAATGTGAAGTCAGTCTTGCTGTATGGCTGTGAGACATGGAACACATCTCTGACGTGTATAAAGAGGATCCACGTTTTCTTGAATAAGTGTCCGAGGAATCTACTGAGGATCAGATGGACAAACAGGATCACCAACGAAGTATTAAGAAAATCGAGACAGAGCCCAGTCAGAGATGAAATGGGAAGAAGGCGTTGGTGATGGATTAGACACACTTTCAGGAAGTCAAGCAGCTTCATAAAAAGGCAATAATAATAATAATAATAATTGCATTTATATAGCGCATATTCATGCTCAAGGGCATGCTCTATGCGCTTTACAACTATTATTGCCCCAGCAGAGCCTCTGAGAACACTCAGAAACATTCTCAGCTTCCGCGGAAGCATACAGTGCAAGCTGCGGATTTCACGAGCTCAAACACAAGATCTATCAAACTGACAAGATCGTTCACTGTCTATAGCCGGGTACCCATTTCTACCTGGGTAAAGTGAGGAAAACTTGTGCAAAGTGCCTTTCCCAAGGACACGTCGGGCCCCTGACAGGATTCGAACCCTCGACCTTACGTCTGCGAGTCCGAGAGCCTAACCACTAGGCCACCGACGCCACAAGTGTTAGATTGCCGCAAAACAAGTAAACCAACCAACAAACAAACAAACCAATAAATAGAGGATCGTTACGCCCACGTCGTAACTGCAGATGATTTGGCTGGGACGCTTAGAGCATCGAAAACTTGATGTAATTGACACATTTAATTTAGTTTCACTGGGACGAGAAGAATGATTACCTGCACTATTACTATTACCTCGCTTTGTTTCAGACGAGAACAACCCGCAGTGCACTTAATATATTCTCACTTAACCGAGTTATCTATTGACTAATCTGTTTGCCAGTTGTTGTTCTTTTGGGGTTTTGTTTTTTTGTTGTTTTTTTTGTTTTTCTTTTTCTTTCAGTTCTCTCAATCATGGCTTTCGACTGGTTTTTTAATTTGAAAAAAAAAGAAGAAAATTATGGAGAGAAAATGGTGAGAGAGAGAGAGAGAGAGAGAGAGAGAGAGAGAGAATGTGTGTGTGTGTGTGTGTGTGTGT